TCTCAATTGTGATTTGCTTGTGCGTGAACCTGAATGAGTTTGACCTGATCTCGGCCATCTTCTTCCTGGTCAGCGCCTATTCGATGTCTGTCTACTGCATTGTGGGCACCCAGATCGAATTCGCTGTCAGTTTGCTGCTGAGTCTTTGCCTGAGTGCCAGCTAATTCACATTTGACATTTTGCAGTACGATCAGGTGTACCAGACCGTTTCCTGTCTGAGCTGGCACGAGCTAAACTGCGAACAGCGCAAATTATATATGATGATGCTGCAGCGGGCGCAGAACATGAAAATCATTGTACTGCTCGGCATAGTGCCACTCAGCCTGGGCACGGCGCTGCAGGCAAGCGAGTTGGATTTTTGTTTTGGTAGTCTGTTAGCTAAAAATAATATCTAAATTCATTGCAGTTAACTAAGCTAATCTATAGCATATCCATGATGATGATGAGGCATCGCAAGTAAGAAGAGATTATAAATCGATATTCTATTCAAATGAGTGTCTTGTAGTAGAAAATGTATTTATGCTGATGCTAGTTCGCATTCAGATATATCGAATATAAATAAAAGTAGTTGCACCTTTTTCTAGAGTTTGTTATAGCAAATCATAGGCATCTGCCTAGATAATATCAATAATATTGCTGAATAACCGACTCAAGGCTAAAGAAGTTTGCTTATATAAAAACATTTTGATTCTTGTTACACTTGCTGACTTACATCATTTATGCCTGTCTGGCCAAGTCGATCAACTGTCTGGATATGCCGCTCGTAACCCAAAAAAAGTTCTCATTAACTGCCTAAAGGCTGCAGCTCAAGTTTGATATATATGATGCCATTTCTGAAAAGGACTTCAGCTCAAGTTTGATAGAATAGTGGGTCACTTCGGATGACACGCATCTTGATTGCTTCACATACCAGTTGCAGCCTCAACTTGCATACTCAGCCCGGCGCAAGTTGACTTATTCTCGTGCTGCCTGCCTGGCATAACTTTATAATAGCATACTTAAGCACTTAGATCGGATTTAATCGGCGTATGCATGGCCGGCCGATTAAGAGAGTGAATGAGAGCTTGAGTTCGCATTTGAGCAACGGCTTGACAACTCGCATCTTAGTCCACTGGAATCTGGTCTTTTATGCCATTGCAGTGCTGCAAAGCACTCGGAAGCGTTTAAGTGCACTTGAGTGGATTTTAATGGACTACTACGACATCGGGTTGTGTCTTGTCGCTCTAATCGGGGCTTTTATCTGTGTGTGCGTGTGTGTGACTTAGTATTGAGAGGATATTTAGCCACACGCATTTGTATTGTCGTTAACTGCATGCTGCAGCATTCCTCTTGATGAGCTTTGACTGTGCAATCAAGTTGCGTCTGTGCTCCTATCACTTGCCCTCGCATTTGCAATTAGAAATATTGCAAATGACCTCGAGTAAGAAAAGAGTCTCTAATTGCACAAAGAAATTGTGCTGGATGCTCTAATAAGATTTCGCTTTGATTAGGAATAGAATATGTGCTCTGTTATTCCAGCACTTAAAATTTATGTAGTTGTACTACGTTGCCGATACTCTGCAGCCAGCCAGCGCTCGATGGCGGCATTATCATTACAAGCGCCATTTGCTAGACCCGAACATGGCTACAAGTCTGAACTGGTCCAGTAATTACGCATTTAGTACACACGCCATTTGCTGCATCATGTTTGGAGCGCTGATGCGTGGAGCTGGCTGCCCCGGCAGCCACTAATAACGAGCTAAAGAGAAAATTCGAGCTCGTTTCTGGTTCCATTATGCGTTGCTTATTGGGCTCTTATGCAAATAAACAACGACAACAATAAGACCAACAACAACAGCCAGCAGCAGAGCAATATATATGCGAGCACAAACAAGAGTCAAGTTCCAATAACAGCAAAGCTCACAAACCGAGACCGAGACTGGGAGGCGACAGAGACAGAGTGAGAGAGGGAGGGAGAGGGAGACTGAGAGGCTGTAGCCTGTAAATAGGCCAGAATTTCTTGTTACAAAATGCCCCATTCAATAGCATCGAGCAACGAGCAACGACCCACTCAATAGAACGCCTCGCACTTCTATGGCCTACTTCATTAATATTTATACAAAACGACTTTTTCCACTCTCCATTTCCATTTGGATTTCTTACATGGGGCTGCAGGAATAACAACAACAACAAAAGTGGAGCTCTACCCATGCCCATTCGCTTTGGAAACAAACTATAAATAGGCAAGAAAAACAACAAGCTGTGCCGTTTGCTCTGGTTACGCATAGCTGATTTTGCAATTTCAAGATGAGAATAATCACAACAAAGGCAAAATAAAGGCTGACTACATGGCCTGGCGATATCCTATACCTAAAGAAAAAATAATATTTTATGTAATAATAAATATTTTATATCTATATTATTAAAAAAAATTCTCAATTCTACGGAAATTGTCGCAGCATACCCCATGCTTCACTCAATTGCAGGGTATACAAAGTACATGGCAATATAAATATAATGAATGCAGAACATTGTATTTAAATAGGTCTCAATGCTAACTCTTTGACATCTATTTGCACAATTTGGCTTTGATTTAATGAGTTTGCAATTCAACAGCCTGAAATTGGTTTTAATTATTGTTTATGTTTATATCTATTTGCAGATGGCAATGCAATACAAAAGCAAAAAGTGGAAAATCCAGCTGTCAAACAGGCAAATACAAGCAGCAATATTTTACAGCATTTTGAGGTAAGTCGAGGGATCAACTTAAACACTTCAAATCCCCTTAATTAAATGCAAAATGTATTTCAAGCTTGGCTGCCTTCTCATTTGTCCACAATGCTTATTGGATTGAACATTTTGTAGTCATTTCTGTTTTGTTTGTAAGAAACATTTGTTTCTTCTGCCTGTTTGAGTTGGACAAATAAACGAACTGGCAGCAGCTGAGCTGAGCAAATAATTGTGAAATGTTTTCGAATATAAAAGTCGTCAAGGTTCAATGGTCAGCCATGTAATACAGTTATATGAATTGTCTTTAAGGGCTAACACCGTAATGCATTCATTCATTCAAGGCATACATTGCGTATACGCAATGTTCATTCGTGAAATAATTCAACTTTAACATACAGCAGAGTGTGAAACAGTGGCCCAGCGGACAACAGAATATAAATAGTCGCGGTGTCTCTGGCATCATGAACTAAACGAAACCTAGTCAAGCGCTAGCTAACCTCTATGCTGCAACAAACTATCTTCATAGTGCTCAATCAGGACCGAGCCGGGACAACAGCGTATTCACTTCGTCCAAATGAAGTAAGAGCTCTTTTTATGAGTTCAACGTGGCATGTAACTGGCAATTGTTGTTCTTATTGCTGTTGCTGTTTTTGTGGTAGTTGCTGTTCATGTTTTACCTCGATCTGCCCCTAGTCAACAGCCACTCTCTGTTGTAATAGTGGTAGTAGCTGCTACTGCTGTTGCTGTTGTTATTGCATTTGTCGTACATCTTTGTTTACTTTGTGCTCATGTTGCGTCCCAGCCCAGCAAGTTGTCCACGGCAAGGAATTTAATTTGCCAGCCGCCGTAAAACGGCTGGCGGGATGGCAGACCCTGAAATTCTTGGGCCAGGAGCTGGCGGACGAGCTTCTCTGCAATTTTGTTTGCACCGAAAAATTTGTTTGCACTTCTGCTTTAAAAGCGCCAAGCGCTACATTTTCACAATTAATTTGTCATTTCGTAGTGCAAATATTTTGCCAACTCTCCAACCTGAAGAAACAGAATGCCTGGAGCTACTGCAATATATGAGCCGCGGCAGGAGCTACTACGATATATGCCAGCGTTTATTTAAGGTTAGTTCTACCTGTACTATGAGGTACGTGTGAAGCCATATAAATATTTCGAACCTAAAAGCATTGTAAAATATTAACAAAAAGCTGAAAGCTTGCATCTGCTTCAGATGCTTCACTCTAATCCTTGACTTTTACCATATTTGCTAAGGATTTGCACACACATGTGCTCACTTCTCTACGCGTGCATGTGTATGTGTGTGTGTGCAAAGAGTTGACCGTAAAAAGACTGTCCGCAAATGCATTTATTCATGAGACATTTTTGCTACATTTTCATCTAGCAAAATGCAAAGCTTTTTTTATTTTATATAAGCAATTGGGAAAAACATACAGAGCATCCACCATACAACGAAATTGGTCTTAATTGTATTGCAGTTAAGGCAACCATAAAACGAAAATCTCAGGGCAAGCACTCAAATAAAAGTCTTATAAAAAATAAACTAAATTTGCTGAATTTATTGCATGAACAAGATTTCCGTATTTTTCCTTTAGATTTTCAACGCGAGCATGCTGAACTTTGTGTTCAAATAAATGTTTTTTCCAAATTTAATTAAATATAATATAANGACGGACAGACGGACAGACGGACAGACAGACGGACAGGGCCAAATCAACTCAGCTCGTCGCCCTGATCAAGAATATATATACTTTGTGGGGTCTGCCACGCCTCCTTCTGCCTGTTACATACATTTCAACAAAACCATTATACCCTGATTTCCCATTGAAAATGGGTTCAGGGTATAAAAACTAGAAAATCAATTATAAGTAGTACTGTTATCCTAAATTATTAGTATACGAAGGGTTAAGAGAACACTCTATCAAAAGTTAATCATAAAATTCTCAGATCTCTCCGATTTGCCATGCCAAACATTAGGCAAGTGCAGTCTCTCGTTCCCTCTCTCTCTCTCTCGCTCTCTCTCTCTCTCTTTCTCTCTCTCTCTCCCTCTCTCTCTTTCTCTCACTCACTCACTTTCTCTCTCTTGGCAATGTGGTCTGCCCATTAAGTCACGTCAGATCGTGTAACACCTCAACAAACGGCGCTCACGGAATTGGGTCGATGACGTCATCGTCTGGCCGTGCTATCAAGCGGGCCATCTGTGTCAGCGTGAGCTGAGCTGCTTAGCTTTTCGCTCGCTATCAGCGCGTCGATCGCCAAACGATTTAGCGCAGTTCTCACGCGAATTCCATGTTCAACGTACGTGAACTGTGCAAGCTGCAGCTGTGGCTACCGCTTGGCCTGAGTCTGTGCCTGAGCCAGTGCCTCTGGCGGCCAATCCTCGCCAGCCATGCCCGGCTGCCCGTCTACATTCAGCGCCACATGAATGCCAGCGCCGATGCCTGCGTGGACTTCTATGAGCACGCCTGCGGGGGCTGGTCGCTGGCGCATGCCGATGACGTCTATGCCAGCCAGCTGGAGCAGCTGGACTACGAGTATCATGCAAGCCTGTCGGAGCTGCTGGAGCAGCAGCCCGGGCCGCAGGAGCCGCGCTTCGTGCAGCTGCTGCGCGACAACTATGTTGCCTGCCGGCGCCTCGACAAGCGCTACGATGCGGCGCAGTTTGTGCGCTGGCTCGCCGAGTGGAGCAGGGGAGAGACTGAGAGTGAGACTGAAAGTGCGAGTGCGAGCGAGAGAGGGAATGGCAGTGCGTTGATACACCTGCTGAAGGCCTACGGCTTGGGCGAGCTGCTGCAGTACGAGAACGAAGAGGAGGAGGAGGAGGCGGAGGCGGAGGCGCTCAGCGATGCAGAGCAGCGGCTGCTGCAGCTGCAGTTTCCGTGGCCCAATCCGGAGGATTACCTGAGCGATGCAGGTGACTATGAGATGCTGACGCACGCGAGCTTCAGGCAGTTGTACCGTGAGCTGCAGCCGCTGGGCGTGGCCGAGCGCAGGCTGTGGAAGCAGCTGCACCGGCTGGAGCAGCAGCTCTGCCGCTGTGCGCAGCAGCAGGAGCAGGAGCAGGAGCAGAGAAGGCCACTGATGCTCTGGCTACTGCCGTTGCCAGCTGCCAGTGCTAGGCCCAGTGCCACACGTCGGCCGGCCTATCTGAGCTGCGTGTCCGCGCTGCTGGCCGAGCAGCCGGCGCCGCTGCTGGCGGCCTATCTGCAGCTGCGGCTGCTGCGACTGCTGCAGCAGCTGCCCGCGCCGGCGTTCGGGCGGCAGCAGTGCGCGGCTCAGTCGCGCCAGCTGCTGACGCATGCGGCCGTGTGGCTGCTGCAGCAGCAAGTGTCGCACGCGCAGCGACACCACACGAACGACACAATGCACCAGCTGTTCGAGCAGCTGCGCCAGCAGTTCAAGCTGCAGCTGCAGGCCAATCGCAATCGGTTCGACAATGCCACGCAGAGCTTCCTGCTGCAGAAGCTGCAGCGCATGCGGCTGCGTGTGGGCGTGCTGCCCGGCGGCAGCCCGGAGCAGCAGCAGCAGCAGCTGGAGGCGCACTACGCCCAGCTGCAGCTGAGGGCCAACGACTACTACGGCAATCTGTTGGCCCTATTGAGGCAGACGCAGCGCTGGGCGGCGGGGGCTGAGGGCGAGGCAGCTGACGGGCTGTTTGTGGTGCAGTTGGACGGCTTTGGCAGCTATGCCTCGTGCTTCTTTCTCTTCTCGCGCAATCTGGTGGTGCTGCCGCACTCGCTGCTGTCGGCCAACCTGTACAGGTCGCATCAGCCGAAGGTGCTTACGCACAGCGGCCTCGGCTTCCTGCTGGCGCACGAGCTCTCCCACGGCTTCGATCTGAGTGGAGTGGTGTACGATGGGCGTGGCAAGCTGGCCAGCAGGCAGCAGAGGCAGCGCCTGTCCTCGAATGCGCGTTTCGCAAGCCAGAAGAGCTGCCTGAAGCGACGCCACGCCGAAATCGCCGACGAGAAGTTCGCCGACCTGAACGGACTTTCCTTGGCCTACGACAGCTACTTCACGGCCCATTGCCAGCACAAAGAGGCAACCGGCGCCAGGTGTGGCACGGCGGTGCAGCAGCACTTCTTCCTCAACTTTGCCCAGTTCTTCTGCCGCGACGATCTGCAGCCTGAGGACACCAGCGAGCACGGCAGCAGTCGGCAGCGGGTCAACGATGCCGTCGCCAGCTCCCAGCACTTTGCGCGTGCTTTCGGCTGCGAGCGCAGTCGCCACAAGCAGCCGCTCTGTCAGCTCTACTAACTTGTGATAGACTGTAGAGCACATTACTAATATAAATATATATTGTAATTAAAAATATGATGTAAATATATGTATATAAACTTAATTGAATTTTCAGTACTGAACATAGTAAAGTTTCTGGCCAAATAAATGTAAAATTCAAATTTCATTTAAATTTAACATAACAAATGATATACAAATATATTGTAAATATAAATATGATATGCAAATATTTTAATAATTGAATTTTTCATATATGTTTGTAGTTGTAACTCTTTAAAGACTACAGAAATGTAACGGTATTTTGATACATTTAAAATATGCTCGAGGCTGCAAAACAAATCGAGAATAAAAAAAATTACTTTTGTATTGTAATTTATATTTGATGTAATTTATATTTTGTACGTCAAAAGCTGTTGCCTTTGTTGTCGGGCTATGAAATACGAGTAACATTTATATTTTAAGCAAATAAAATAGAAAACAGAAGATTTATCAAATTTGCAGATTTGATGAGATGCAAAAGGAAAACAGACGGTCCCATGCATATTGTATAAAAAGTTTATATGCATGTATATATACATTTATATATGCTGCATGTTAAACAAAACCAAGAGACAAGCATAAGCCGCTTCCAGGTCGGAGCTCGAGGTCAGCTGCAGCTGCTCGACAGGCACAAGCCGAGACAGGACAAAACACAAAAGCAAACAGGCTAATAAGCCCTGGCTGAGCAGCAGTCAAACGACAAACGACAACGAGAAACAACAAAAGGCAAGCGGCAAGCGGCAAACGGACTGAGAACTGTCTCAGATACCACGCCCACAAAAGATACAAAAACCGAAGCACTTTTTGGCATATGCCGTAGATACATATTTGCATAGAAAGCTTTTGACTTTCGCATGAGCATAAAAAATAAATGCCAAATAAAATAAATTACATGCACGCACAGCAGCCAAGAACGCTTATATGTGTGCTTGTGTGTGTGTGTGTGTGTTAGGCAAATATGCCAACAGGATAAACATGAGGCTGGCGAAACAGAAGTTGGCCCAAAGCCTCATGCAAACACCAGGCCAAACAAGAGCCACAGAGTTGGCTAAGCTAGTGACGTCTCCTTGGGCATTGATTGCCATGTTCTAACTACAATACGTATACGTAATATTTGTGGACGGCCTGTGCCTCGCTGCCCAGCAAAGAGCTGCTAGCTCGGGCGTCCAGCCTTGGTTCTGCCTCTGACACTGGCTACGTGATGGTGACACGACCAATTAGTGTTGCCTGCCCAGCTCTGCTGTGACTTGTTAGAGATACAACACACACACACAAAGCCACGCACACATGCACACGCACACATGCACACGCACATATATACAACTATGCTGTGCTGTGTCCTGACATTTAAAGACTTAAGCCTTATGCAAATCTTTTCAGTTAGAGCCAACTACAAAGTGCTCGCAGTAAATGTCTGTAATTTAAAGCATACACACACATGCACACATACCCATACACTCACACACATGTAACTAAAAGTTTCAGGCGTAAAATTCAACACCTTTTCAAAGTCTCTTATGAAGTGCATACAAATTAGAGACTGAGAAGTTGGCATTGTTATGGCAAAGACCTGTTATTTGCCCAATTTTAACAGCCCTTTAATGAAGGCGTATAAGGAACGTAAGGGAATAAATTGTAGAGGCGTGCCTAACGTCTGGAATACCCTGCAAAAAGTCCTCAGAGCTCACAGGCTTAGCTAACAACTTAAGGCCAATTTTATTTGGAGCTAAATGTCTGATGCTTACCCACACAATATGCTCTTTGTATAGCTTAATGCAGGATATCAAATGCGAAAAAAGAAAAGCAAGCCAAAGACTTGTCAAAAAAGGCAAACGAAAACAAGTGAAAATCATTGAGTTTAGTTAGCATCAGTCGAGAGCAGGCGGCAAAAGTTCAAAGTGAATCAGCCAGGGGAGGGCCAAGAAAGGAAGCACACACACACAGACATCAAAAAAAAAAGGAGTGGCAAATAGGAAGGCTAAAAGTAAACAGCCATTATGCACTCGACGCAAACGATGGAGTGTGGGCGTGGCTGAGAGTGTAAAATGTGTGTGAGGAGCTGCGGCATCCAGAGAGCTTTGGGTTGTTGGGCAGTATGAAAACATTTTACTGCCAAACACACTCGAACACACGCACAGCAGCAGAAAAATAAACAATTTCATAAGATATGCACAACAACAACAGCAAGCATTGCAAAATATCTGAATATATATGCGTGTGTATATATTTTATAAGAAAAATGTGGCAAGAGCTGGCCAGGGCAGCCACAGGGCTGGAGCCGGGACGGCAAATAATGCAAAGCAAACAGAAAACGTAACAAAGTAAAGCAGCGCCAAAGAAGAAGGGGGCGGGGCCGGCTGGCTGGCTGGCAGTAAATCGGGGGCGACACCAAGCGACGAGACACTTTGCCGCCAACGCAAATAAACCTCAATAAGTGCGGGGGGGGGGGGGCGAGGACGGACGGAAACTGGCAGCAACGGCGTTGGCCACTCAGCAGCGTTTGACACTTGACGCAAGGACAACGTAAGGACAATGGCGACAACGACGAAGACGAGTGCAAAAGACTCCACACCGAGGCTGTGAAAACACAGCACAACAAAAAATATATAAATAAAGAGAAAAAATAACCAGGCGAAAACAAAATAAAGCGAAAAAAAAGGCGCATCAATAAATATTTCAATTTTTGCAAAAAAAATTTCATTTTATATATAACTGAGCGATAAAATATGGAGGCGGGCATAACAGAAAAAAAATTAAATCCACACGCAGCCCACACACTCACGCACTCACACACACACACACGCACTCACGAATAGGGCGTAACAAAGTGCTGATAAAGCGAGAAACGGGCGCGCGAAAAACAGCTGCGGGTTGAAACAGTCGTAAATACTCGTAAAACGTATGTGTGGAGCTCAGGCCCAGAGACAAAATGTCGCTCATAAATTTCCGAATTTTTGGCTCTGTCAAACGGCGGTTGGCAGGGTGCAGGAGAGACATCGGGGTGTGGTTTACTAAAACGCAGAACGCAGGACACCCAAGCACCCAAGCACCACAAGCTCAATTAGATGTCCTCTAATTTTGTAGCTGCTAACGGAAATGGTCAGAGCTGTGCTTAAATTAAAATTTTTCGATAGTCTTCAATCGACACGAGGGGTTTTTTTATGCATAGCCATCGGGCCAGCAAGGCAGAGAACTAATTCTTATTTAATTTAAATGAACATTTTGGAGAACAACTTTTTACTTTGACTTTAAAAATAGGAATGAGCCGACTGAACCATATATGAATTTAAAAATTCGAAGATGTAATCGAGTTTTGGCTATACAGACAATTTCAGATAACAACAAATCTTATTACATCGAAATACTAGTTATTCTTGCTATTGCCGGTCGAGCATCTGCTAAAAATGAAAGAAATCATTCCAGTGCAATACCTTACATCGCTCCTGAGGAAAAAGGGCTAAAAAGGTGGAAGAGATAAAACAGAATATCTATCTACAGCAAAAAAAAGGATTTCTGGCTACTCTCAAGTTTTTGCCCTCTTGCATTTTAATTAAAATTCACGTCCTAAAAACAAAAGAAAAAGTTCAGAGGAAACAAAAAAACAAATCCAACACCATTTTGCAACATTTTGAAGTCTCACAAACAATTTTCTAATAGCATTTCCAGATATTCGGAATTTCATTTCTTATCGAGCGTTCAGAAAAAACTCGCATTGCATAGCAAATGCTCGGCTCACAACAAAACAATTTTTATGAGCTGTGAGAATTGTGTGTGTGTGGGGAGTGGGACTGGGAGTTGGAGTTGGAGTTGGAGCTGGAGCTAGAGCTGGAGTAGACGTAGCATACATATGCATTAATTGAAGTGCAAACAATGTATGCATAGAAAAATAGCATGGCTTATAATAGATTCTCTCGTTCCCAGAGCTCAATATGCTAATTTGCCAATATACTAAAGACTGACGAATTCAGTTGCCATTTGCGGGCCATGCAAATTAACACCAGCAGCCACAAATATTCCAAAAATGTATGCTATAGAAAAAGAGGCAGAGAGAGAGGGAGAGAGAGAGAGAAGGCGACATTGAAATGAAAAATGCCAAAGGCTAAAAATTGTTTGAATGGGCGACTGCAGACTGCAGAAAGCAGACAGCAGACAGCAGCTGCCAAAATAGCTGTTGACTCCCAGTCTTTGAGATGGCCAATGCATTCATGGCAGACCGTAAGAGAGCTGAACAAAACAATATGCGTGTATTGGCCATCAAGTGTATTGGGTAGCTGCGATGCTGTTCTCCCAGCATTTATGAAAATGCCAAGTTTGATTATGCAACAACAACGACTTCCACCCGCAACCTATCAAAAAAGCACGCAACAATAACAACAACAACAACTGCTGCAGGGGCAACCGCAACATGGTAAACATGAAACCGAAACTGTAACTAAAACTGCGAAACAGACATGCAGATGGGGGCGAGTGTGTGTGTCTGTGTGTGTGCAAATAGGAAGGCAACAAAATTGAAAGCATTGCGAGCGCTGCAAAAATTTGCATGCATATTTACAAAGTTTTTGGGGAGCAAAGTCAGCTGTGGGTGGCCTTTTGGCGCAACCCCAAAACTAAACAGATGCAAAACTCCCACCCCCCATACGTAGTGCCGCCCCGACGCGCCCTTGCCCACCAGCCAACCGTGCCGCAAGTCCAAAACTAATGCATGCGCCTGTCGTGGCGCATTTGCCACATTTGATGTTCGTTTTTGCAACTATTTGCAAATGCAAATTGCAAACATGCAACAGGGACATGTTGCGTAAATGTCAATGTGTTGTAACAAAGCGTGTTTGTGTTTGTCTTTATGTGTATGCTGTGTGTGTGTGTGGCCACTCAATGCGCGTTTTCTGTCTACGCTGCGACAACGATATGCAGCCCAGCTGCAGGCTGCAAGACAAGACATATAAAACGACTCCTGCTCCCGCCTGATTGACAGGGGAGTTGAACGCATTGTAGTACAACTT